AGGCAAAAAGTTGTTTCTGGGATTTTCTTGTTTATCTCATTGGTCTTAAAACAAGAAGTGGTAGTATTTGTTATACTGGCTGTGTGAAAATCCAACTTTTTTTGTTGAAAAGCTGAGCAGTAATACATTTAATTAAATTTTGATAATTTCTGATACTGACATTGTACATATGCTGGAGGATTAGCAGTACGTTTCTGGCTTCAGAGTTGCAAGAAGCAGACTTAAAGATTGGGATCCACGAGAGGGCCGTCTTCCACACCTGAACATATCTGATCATGTCGGAGGGTGACAGTGAGGACCACCATTCCCCTGAGGATGACAAAGTTACAGTCAGCTCTTCACTGGCTGATATCATGGATTAAGAAGTCTAGAGTGTTCGTTAGAATAAAATGCTATCATTTAATACACTGATGCATTTAAACAGTATAGATTAATCCAATAAATACACTTTTAATAGACGTGCTGAAGATTTTAAAGTTGTTAAAGTCTGCCTAAATATATGCCTGAACAACAGACTTTAAAATTGCTTTAAAAACAATGAAATTACATTAAATAATAATTAAGTTGTGACATAATTATGAGCTCTAAATCGCAAAGCTTCAGCAAGGTTTTGGACTAATTCCTCAGATTAGTTAAATTAGTTGTTAGTTTAGTGTTTTTTGCATAGGTGAGATTGTGTTATGAGAAATGCATTAACTGCTTTGAGAACTGTTGGAGTTGGATAGAATGATGTTGATGTGAGAACTGCACTAAAGTCGGGACAGCCAGTAAGCAAAATAGTAGGTGTCACCGTACCTAAAATCTGGACGCTTTCATTGGGGAGTCGTTGCATGGTAGCAGCGACTGCATCAGCAAGCTTTTTGCTCTGTTGCCATCTGCATTTCTGTATGCATGCATGCAGAAGTTCATTGAGAAGCAGGAAGATCCTCAATCCTTCCACTCCCACAGGGTTCATATCAACAGATGGAAGCAGCTGCAGAACAGCAGTCTCAGCCTGCTGATGCAACTTGTTATTAATTAAAGGTTT